GGCGGTGGTTTCCGTAAAGCTCCGCACGATGCCCGTAAAATCCGGTGCGTTTGATCCAAAACAGTAAGGTCCGTGATCCGCGGTGTCTGCGCGGTCTGTTGTGTAAACACTGGAGTAAAACACTGGAGTAAAACACTGGAGTAAAACACTGGAGTAAAACACTGCGGTGACGCGCCTGTGCCGCTCCGTGCCGCCCGTGCGCTCTGCTCTGACCGGCGCGCACGCGGGAGCGCGTTTATAAGGCAGGGGTGAAGAGGGCGGGGTTCCTCTGACGCGGCCCGCCCCTTTCTGTTCGTTCGACCAATGGGAGCGCAGGTTGCCGTTTGAAACTCACGTCAATCAGAGCTGCCGCGAGCCCACACACGGAGGGCGGGAACAGGAGCGCGCCAAAACCTCAGAGAGCACGAGGCCAACATGGAGCCGGTGTACACAGAACCACGTGGGACCGAGTTTAGACCGGGTTTACACCGGGTTTAGACCGGGTTTAGACCGGGTTTAGACCGGGTTTAGACCGGGTTTTACCGGGTTTACCGGGTTACCGGGTTTACACCGGGTTCAGACCGGGTTTAGACCGTGTTTAGACCGGGTTTAGACCGGGTTTACACCGGTTTAGACCGGGTTTAGACCGGGTTTACACCGGGTTTAGACCGGGTTTAGACCGGGTTTAGACCGGGTTTACACCGGGTTTAGACCGGGTTTAGACCGGGTTTACACCGGGTTTAGACCGGGTTTAGACCGGGTTTACACCGGGTTCAGACCGGGTTTAGACCGTGTTTAGACCGTTTTTAGACCGTTTTTAGACCGGGTTTAGACCAGGTTTAGACCGGGTTAATGGTTAAACTGTACTCAGACACTGGGGTTGTTGTATCTTGTACAAAGACACAACAACAACATCCTTGTTTGGGAGCTGGAATTGCACTGCCAACCTGTTTATGTCCTGGTTTAGACCTGGTTCAGTCTTGGTTTAGTCCTGGTTCAGTCCTGGTTCAGTCTTGGTTTAGTCCTGGTTTAGTCCTGGTTTGTCCCCATGTGCCCCCCCTCCCCCTCTGTCTGTCTGTTCCTCCCATTTCCTCAGTAACCCCCCCCCCCCCCCCCCCCCCCCCCGTCTCTCCTCCTCCTCTCTCTCTCTCTCTGTCTCTCTCTCTCTCTCTCTCTCTTTCTCTCACTGTCTTTCTCTCTCCCTCTCTCCGCTCTCTGCTCTCTCTGTCTCTCTCTCTGTCTCTCTCTCTGTCTCTCTCTCTCTCTCTGTCTCTCTCTCTCTCTCTCTCTCTCTCTCTCTCTCTGTCTCTCTCTCTCTCTCTCTCTCTCTCTCTCTCTCTGTCTTCTCTCTCTGTCTCTCTCTCTCTCTCTCTCTCTCTCTCTCTCTCTCTCTCTCTCTCTCTCTCTCTCTCTGTCTCTCTCTCTCTCTCTCTCTCTCTCTCTGTCTCTCTCTCTGTCTCTCTCTCTCTCTCTCTCTCTCTCTCTCTCTCTGTCTCTCTCTCTCTGTCTCTCTCTCTCTCTCTCTCTCTCTCTCTCTCTGTCTCTCTCTCTCTGTCTCTCTCTCTCTCTCTGTCTCTCTGTCTCTCTCTCTCTCTCTCTCTCTCTCTCTCTCTCTCTCTCTCTCTCTCTTCTTCTTCTTCTTTTCTTTCATTTCTTTCTCAGTGTCTTTGTAGATTTTTCGCGGGAAACTCAGATCTCAGTCTGTCCTCCCTCTTTCCCTCCTTCCCTCCTTCCCTCTTTCCCTCCTTCCCTCCTTCCCTCTTTCCCTCCTCCCTTTCCCGCTCTTCCTCCTCCTTCCTTTGCTCCTCCCTTCTTTCTTTCTTTCTTTCTTTCTTTCTCTGTCCCTCGTTTTTCATGGGAATGTTCTCTCCGTTTTCTGTGGAACAGACGAGTGTAAACAAAGAGCACGAGCTCCATGAGTCACTCCAGGAAAACACCTCCCCCCCCCCCCTTTGGTCTCGGTTGGTCTTGGTCTTGGTCTCGGTCTGGTCTCGGTCTTGGTCTGGGTCTGGCCTTGGTCTCGGTCTGGTCTTGGTCTCGGTCTTGGTCTGGTCTCGGTCTGGTCTGGTCTTGGTCTGGTCTGGTCTGGTCTTGGTCTTGGTCTTGGCCTTGGTCTTGGTCTGGTCTTGGTCTTGGTCTTGGTCTGGTCTTGGTCTTGGTCTGGTCTTCGGTCTGGTCTCGGTCTTGGTCTGGTCTTGGTCTTGGTCTTGGTCTCGGTCTTGGTCTGGTCTCTGGTCTGGTCTTGGTCTGGTCTTGGTCTGGTCTCGGTCTTGTCTTGGTCTTGGGTCTGGTCTGGTCTGGTCTTGGTCTTGGTCTTGGTCTTGGTCTCGGTCTTGGTGGTCCTCTCGGTCTTGGTCTGGTCTTGGTCTTGGTCTGGTCTTGGTCTGGTCTCGGTCTCTCGGTCTCTGGTGGTCGGTCTGGTCTTGGTCTGGTCTTGGTCTGGTCTTGGTCTGTCTTGTCTCGGTCTTGGTCTGGTCCTGGTCTTGGTCTTGGTCTGGTCTCTTGGTCTGGTCTGGTCGGT